ATAAGAATGAATGATTGTCACTTTGGAAATGCAATTGTGGTATCTTTAGTGTAGCCCTTGCTTGGGGGTACCAATACCAAGGCCCTTTGTTATATGTGTACAGAGATCTCTGATGTAGACCTAAGTGGTCTCTTTGCTAGACCAATGTGGTCTCTTCATTAGACCCAAGTGGTCCCTTTGTTAAACCTAAATGGTCCCTTCGTTAGACCCATGTAGTCCCTTTGTGCACTACTAGATATACCACATATGATTATGATTTGTGAACTTTGATATGACAAGTATTCAATTATGATTTTCTTTGAACTCATGTGATATGATTTTTTACCATGATAGAGATCATTCATTTAACCTCTTTATACTAGTATTACTCACTAGGCTTTAGCTCACCCTATTTGCCTATATATATGTAGGTGAGCAAATGGAGCGTCAAGCTTAAAGCAACCTCGGGAGTCCACCCTTTTGTCAGCTGTTTGGAGTGCCTCCGTGATGGGGCGATCTTGGACTCATGTAGAGCCAAGTTATGTCAACCTTATGGATCATGATATTTTTCTTTGTTTCATTTGTTTAGTTCTTTTGTTTTGGAACTGGTTATGTATGGATACTTTGTATATGTGTATAAGATACTATGACATATTTTTTGTTTGCATTTATGAGAAGGATGAAGTTTAAATTTCATACGGACTAACATGTATGCACTGTTTGATGGACATGTTTATATTTTAATATTGCTTCTACAGTGCCCCATTATTATTATCAATTATTAGTTTCATCTTTGAGGCCAGAGGTAATCTAGGATTACTGGCTGGTCACGGCCTAAACCTCTAAGGGTGGGTCCAAGTAGTGATAGTTTGGTATCAGAGCATGAGTTATACCTCACTCACTTGTCCATTGCGCAATAATGTGTTTGGAAAGGACTTAAGAATTGTATTCAGATGCATTTGACTATCAAAATAATGTAACTTTTGAAAATGTGTATGTGTACATGTGTGCATATAATGTATTTGTTATGATACAAGTCTCATATATATAATGGTGAAAACAAAAGGGGATGAATTGGAGGAGTCCACTTCCAACCGACTTGACCAGATGGAAAGAATGACGCACAATATGGCTAAAAGCCTAAGACAACAACAACAATGACATCAACAACAACCACTACCCCTACCTCTAATGCCCGTACCATTGTTACCAGACCACCAAACAGATGACTAAACCATTGCCCTTACCTGAGAGTTCAAAAAGATGAAGTCGCCCTTGTTTTATGGGGGAGTTGATCCATTAAAGGCTGAGGCTTGGGTATTGGGGATTGAAAACTGTTTGAGGTGTTTCCATGCACAGAGACACAAAAGGTTTTATTAGCCGCCTTTACTTTAGAAGATGAAACGAGAAGATAGTGGATGTTAGTATGAGATACTAACAGAGGAATTAGTTAGGCTTAGTTCTTAGAGATTTTATATGAGAAGTACACCCCGCAATGTGTTCAGGATAGGAAAGTAACATAGTTTGAACAGCTAAAGCAAGGGAATCAGTCAATAGCAGAGTATGAAGCCCAAATTACTGAACTAGCACAATTTACACCGCACATGGTTAATACAATCTACAAAAAGGCTAGAAAATTTGATGGAGGTCTCCACGATGCAATTCTTGATAGAATTAATGTTTTGAAACTACCCAAATTTGTTGATATTTTAGACAGGGCTCTCATGGTAGAGACAAATCTGGCTACTTGTAACTAAATTTTTGAGTGGAAAGGTAAAAGACAGAATTTGAACATTAACAAAGGGGCAATCTTAGAAAGACTAAGAAAGCAAAATCGGGAAATTCAAGTAGCTCCAATCAGAGTGGTAATGCAACACCCATTTGTCCAGATTGTGGGAGGAAGCACCGGGGTGTGTATGATCGGATTATTGGGGCTTGTTTTCTGTGTGAAAAGATGGGACACATAGCAAGGGAATGTCCACAACCATGGCAACATGATAATCAGTGTGCTACAAGCTCAACCGCATCGGCACTATGTAAGGGCCAATGCCACTCCGACTACTACGAGGGATAATCAGAGACAAGGATGGGTACACTCTCTATTTGTGGACAGTATGCATATGTTTTGATTGATTCAGGGTCTACCCACTCTTTTGTTTCTATGCAATTTGCCCCTAGATTGAATAGACCTTTGGAAACTTTGAGATATATATTATGAATGTCATCATCGTTAGGGGGATCTATGCTATGTTCAGCTATTTACCTTGCATGTGAAATCTTACTTGAGAATGCTTTGTTGTATGTTGATTTATTGCCCTTAGACAGGACTCATTTTGACATTATCTTGGGTATGGACTGGTTATCTAAATATTATGCGACCATTGATTGTGCATCTAAACATGTAATATTCTGACCTTCGGGACATAATGAGTTTTATTTTGAGGGAAGAGGTGTAGTTCCCCCACCATACTTAATTTCTGCCATGAAAGGACGTAAACTAATTAACAAGGGGTGTTCGAGGTATTTGTGTAGTATTCTGAGTGTTCAAACTTCAAATGTTGTTTTAGATGATATACCAATTGTGAAAGATTTTTCTGATGTGTTTCCGGAAGAGTTGTCTGGGCGATTAGTTGATAGAGAAATTGAATTTATGATTGATGTGATGCCTAGTACTCAATCTATATCCAAAACTCCATGTCGAATGCCAACTGTTGAAATGAAAGAACTGAAAGTACAGTTGAAGGAATTACTTGATAAGGGGTTCATTCGACCAAGCACATCACCTTAGGGTGCACCTGTATTGTTTGTGAAGAAGAAGGATGGAACACTTCGTTTATGTATTGACTACAAGGAACTCAATAAGGTAACCATTAAAAATAAATATCCTTTGCCTCGGATTGATGATTTGTTTGACCAATTACAGGGGGCTCAAGTGTTTTCGAAGATTGAGTTGAGATTAGGCTACTGCCAGTTGAAAGTCAGGGCCGAAGACATAGAGAAAACTACTTTTTGGACTAGGTATGGACACTATAAATCTTTAGTTATGTCTTTTGGAATTACCAATGCACCTGCAGCCTTCATAGATTTAATGAACTAAATCTATAAACCATTTTTAGATGAATTTGTTGTAGTTTTTATTAATGACATTTTGATTTATTCAAAGAGTAGAGAAAAACATGAACAATACCTTAGAATAATTCTGCAAACACTGAGGGAGAAACAACTATTTGGAAAATTTAAGAAATGTGAATTCTGGTTGAATGAGGTGACATTTTTTGGGTATATTATTAATAGAGAAGGGATATATGTTGACCCACAGAAGATTGAGGCAATTTTTAACTAGCCTACTTCGACTAATGTAACAGAAATTCGTAGTTTTATGGATTTGGCAGGTTACTACTGAAGATTTGTCAGAGACATCTCTAAAATTATTGTGCCATTGACACAATTGACCCAAAAGAGAGAACCATTTATGTGGACAGATCAAAGGGAATCCGCATTTCAAGAATTAAAAACGAGATTAACTATAACTCCAATTCTTACCTTACCGTCTGGAACTGAAGGATTTGTAATTTTCAATGATGCATCTCATAGAGGTTTGGGTTGTGTTTTAATGCAAAATGGCAAAGTGATTGCTTACGTATCCCGACAGCTTAAACCATATGAAATGAATTACCCAACACATGATTTGGAGCTTGCCACTATTATATTTACATTGGAAATCTGGTGACACTATTTATATGGGGCTAAGTGTGAAGTGTATATAGACCACAGAAGTTTGAAGTACTTCTTTACCCAAAAAGAACTAAATATGCGATAGAGACATTGGCTTGAACTGATCAAAGATTATGACCTACATATCCATTATCATCCTAGTAATACTAATAAAATAACTAATGCATTGAGCAGAAAGAATACAGGAACCTTGGCATGTTTGTTGACTGAACGAAAAGAACTTTTGCAAGATCTAGACAGACTTGAGATAGAAGTGGTGTACTATGGGCAAGACAGTATTTTGGCCAATGTCCATACAACCAGCTATTATTGAGGAGATCAAACAAAAATAGAGAGAAAATCAATTTCTCAAGAAAGTATGTAATGAGTTTGAAACTAAGCCCAAATCGGGATTCACCATTGAAGAATAAGGATTGAAATTCCAAGGAAGACTTTGTGTTCCTAATGATACAGAATTGGAAAGAAGAATTTTGGAGAGGCTCACAAGTCAATGTTTGCTATGCATCCGGGAATACCAAAATGTACCAAGACTTGAAACAAGTGTACTGGTGGCCAAACATGAAAAGAAAAATTTCCGACTACAATTCCAAATGCCTTTAATGTCAACAAGTAAAAGTTGAACACCAGAACCAGCAGGTTTACTTCAGTCTCTTCCTATTCCAGAATGGAAGTGAGAACATATAACCATGGACTTCATTGTCGGTCTACCTCGAACACCTAGAGGTATGAATGCTATTTGGGTTATTGTTGATAGATTAACAAAATCTGCTCATTTTCTTGGTATGAAAACTTCATTTAATGCCTATAGACTTGCTATTATTCATATTGACGAAATTATTTGATTACATGGGGTTCCAATATCTATTGTGTCAGATAGGGATCCTAAATTTGTTTCTAGATTTTGGCAAAGTTTGCAACATGCAATGGGCACAAAATTGAGATTCAACACAGCCTTTCATCCACAAATCGATGGGCAAACCGAGAAAACTATCCAAACATTGGAAGATATGCTTCGTGTGTGTGTCTTAGAATTTCAAGGTTGTTGGGAAACTTATCTACCACTGGCTGAGTTTGCTTATAACAACAGTATCCACTCAAATATTTGCATGGCACCTTATGAGGCATTGTATGGAAGAAAGTGTAAGTCTCCAATTTGCTGGACCGAAGTTAGTGATAGAGCTTTGTATGGATCTGAACTTGTGCGAGAAACAACTAACAAGATAAAGATCATCTAACAAAGGCTCAAGACTACCCAAAGCCGACAAAAAAGCTGCGCTGATAAAAGAATGAGAGATTTGAAATATGAAGTGGGAGATCATGTCTTTATCAGAGTAACACCAATGAAAGGGCAAACAAGGTTTGGCAGAAAAAGGAAGTTGATTCCATGTTACATTGGGCCAATTCAGATTTTAAAAAAACTTGGCCCTGTTGCTTATCATATTGCTTTACCGTCGGGAATGGAACAAATGCACAACGTTTTTCACGTATCAATGTTCCATGGATACCTTAGAGATCCATTCCATGTCATAGACTACCACCGAATAATGCTTGATGATGACATGATCTATGAAAACAAGCCAATTCAGCTTATTGATCAACAAGTCAAGCAGTTGAGAAGTAAATCCATTTCTATGGTGAAAGTTGAATGGAATGAACACTATGGAAAAGAAGAAACATGGGAAAAGGATGATGAAATGAGAAAACGCTACCTGGAGTTGTTTCTAAATGGAGGTAACTTAAATTTGGAGGACCAAACTTCCTAATGGGGGAAGACTGTGATGACTCCGACCTCCATATCATTTTTACATATTATTTTATTGTGCATAATTTGCATGATTATGTGTTTATTTGATACTTATTTATTTGTTTGTGAATTATATGTTTGAATGCCAACTTAGAATTCGACATTGAAAGCCCAAACATATTCAGAAAGCAAAATTGATTAATTCAATAGGCTAGTTAGAATATTTAAAACCATATGGTAGGTTTAATTAAAATTTGATTCGGATCAAAATAATTAGAATAAAATAATTATAATTGATTGGACTTAAGCCTAATTGATTAGTCTTAATCACATGTAATTTGTGAAGCCTTATCAACCTATATATATATGTACTAATCAAGCTTAGGACTTCATTTTTCAACAAACCTTGAGCTGAAAATTGAGAGAGGAGAAGAGAGCTCAACATTGTAGAGAGAGAAAGAGGAATTTAGGGGAATTCAAGAGAGATTGAAGGGATTAAGCTAATCCAAGGCCAAATTCAAGCTCTAGGTAAGATTTTCACCCTTAATTCATAAAGATAATCCAAGTAGGAAGATGAATTCACTAAGTTGTAGTACCATTTGCATGAATTTGAAAGAAAAGAGTTAGAATCACCATGAATGAAGTGAGTTTGAGTGAATTGTGTACATGTATGCATAATTCTTCATCTTTGAACTTGGTTTTCTACAAATTCATACATTCATAGGAGTTACATGAGTTATTTCTTGAGATTCTCCATGATTTTACACTCAATATCTCATATAATCATGTTTTGTAAAGAACAAAGTTGAGTTTGCTACGTGCATGGTAAGAACATAGTGTATTGAACTTTGTTTTGAAGAATTGAAAGGAATTTGGGGCCATGGCTTCATAATTTCCATGTATTCATGCTTTATGAAGTGTTTCTAAGCTTTTGAAACCAACCATGCAAGCTTTGAACAAGAAAACGGTGCTTTTGAACTTTAAGCTCAAAACTGAAAAACGCAGAATTCACCCTATTCGCTCGAGCAAAGGATCCTTGGCTCGAGCGAACATCGCGAGCATCTACTAGTTTTGCAGACTATTGGCTGTTGGCTCGACTAACCAAGTGTGCACTCAAGCGAACTCACCTTTGTTCAGCACTTGGCTCAAGCGATCATTGATCACACATTTAGACCATCCAGTACTTTTGCAGACAAGCCACACAGCTCGAGCGACCAAGTGTGCGCTCGAGCGAAGACCCTATTTTTAGAAAATTTTGACTAACACTTATAAGTGCATATTTAGATCCCCATGCCCTTTTAGGCATTGTTTTGCATCATTTGAACATCCTTAATCATGGGATAAGCTAGAAAAACATGCAAGAGAATCAAATTAAGATATGTTATTTGTTTCGAACGTGTGCTTCAATATGTATCTGTGTTATGTCTTTGTGTAGATGGTCAACCGAGGTTTAACGTCAGTACCAACCCACTGTGAGTAGTATCTTTGTAAAGATATGTTGTTAAAGTGTGTTTTGGTTTACCGCAAGATCATTAATTTGAAATGCTATTTTGATAAGAATAAATGATTGTCTCTTTGGAAATGTAATTGTGGCATCCTTAGTGTAGCCCTTGCTTGGGGTACCATTACCAAGGCCCTTTGTTATATGTGGACATAGATCTCTGATGTGGACCCAAGTTGTCCCTTTGCCAGACCTATATGGTTCCTTTGTTAGACCCAAGTGGTCCATTTGTTAGACCCAAGTGGTCCCTCTATCAAATCTATATGGTCCTTTCGTTGGACCCATGTGGTCCCTTTGTGGACCACTGGATGTATCACATACAATTATGATTTGTGAACTTTGATACGACAAGTATTTAGTTATGATTTGCTTTGAACTCATGTGATATGATTTTGTACCATGATAGACATCATTCATTTAATCTCCTTATACTGGTATTACTCACTGAGTTTTAGCTTATCCCTCATCCCCTATATATATGTAGGTGAGCAAATGGAGCGTCAAGGTTAAAGCAACCTCAAGAGTCCACCATTTTGTCAGCCGTTTGGAGTGCCTCTGTGATGGGGCAATCTTGGACTCATGAGGAGCCAAGTTGTGGCAACCTTGTGGATCAAGATGTTTTGCTTTGTTTGCTTTGTTTAGCTCTTTTGTTTTGGAACTGGTTATGTATGGATACTTTGCATATATGTATAAGATGATATGACGTATTTTGTGGTTGCATCTATGAGAATCATGAAGTTTAAATTTCATACGGACTGACATGCATACACTGCTCGATGGACATGTTTATATTTTAATATTGCTTCCGTAGTGCCCCGTTATTATTATTAATTATCAATTTAGTCTTTGAGGCTAGAGGTAATCTAGGATTACTACCCGGTCATAGCCTAAATCTCTAGGAGCGGGTCCAGGTCGTGACAGTAATATTAACCTAAAAGAAAACAAAAATATATTTGTTTTTCCAACATGAAGTAAGCATCTCCTACTCAGGGGGTTTATGAAGTAAAAAAAATTTGGAATGTCCCTTTCACAAGAAAATGGTCCAATAGAGAGGTTTCGGCAAAAAAAATCTTTTTATTTAATAGTTGGAGTCATTTCTTATGTGATTAGAAATCTCTAGAGAATAGAATGTAATTTCCCAAATATAAGAGAGGAATTTGTATTTTTAATAAACTTCAGGAGATATATTTGTAATTATCTTTTTTGGAGACTTATTTATAAGTCCTTTTTCAGATACTTATGGTAGGATAAGTCCTGTGTAATTTCTTATAGTGTCTCAAGTCCTATTTAGATAGGAATGTATTCCACAAAATCTTACATAAACGTAACGTGGCGTGACACCTACATAAACGTAACATAACGTGACACCTACATAAACGTAACGTAACGTGACACTTATATAAACGTAACGTAACGTGACACCTACATAAACGTAACGTGTTAGCAAACTTAATGAGTTTTTATTTTTTTTAATTGAATGTAAAAATGTTGCTGGTTTATGTTGGTTTCATGTTACGTTTCATATAAATATGATCTATGACAACATTCAATTTCCTATATAGGAAATTGAATGTTGTCATAAATCATAGGTGTCACGTTACGTTTATGCAGGTGTCACATTACGTTATGTTTATGTAGATATGATCTATGATAACATTCAATTTCCTATATTGAAAATTGAATGTTATCATAGATCATAGGTATCACGTTATGTTTATGTAGATGTCACATTACGTTACGTTTATGTAGATATGATCTATGGTAACATGCAATTTCTTACATAGGAAATTGCATGTTACCATAGATCGTAGGTGTCACATTACGTTTATGTAGGTGTCACGTTACGTTATGTTTATATAGATATGTTCTATGTTAACATTTAATTTCCTATATATGATTTTGCTATTATTTATGATATTAACAACTAATATTGAGAGTAAATGTGTCAACAAACTTCTCGCAGGACTTATGGGAACATAATTTTTTTAATAGGATCATATGTAGTATAAGTCTCCCTAATAAGACTTATAAATAAATTTTTCCTATCTTTTATTTATATATATGAAAATTGTTATACAATATTTTGTTTATTAATTAATGTAACATGAAATAAAAAAAAAATGAAAATTTGAAATAAAACTCAATATAATAATATAATATAATTTATCATATCAATGAGTAGATAATTTTATAAAATTTGTTAATTTGTATAATATTACACCTGTTTTTTTCATGAAAGAGCCATTGTGTGGACCTTTTATGCGAATTACACTTCATATGTCAAATTAGAGTGTTTCACTTTTTCCAATTACATTATTATTTTTCCCTGAAATTACGGGTCAAGTCAACATGAGATGTAATTTCGTGAAATTCTTTCCACGCTTGGCATTGTCTTGTGATTGATTGCAACTAGCTACATTTGTTAGGAAAATGAGTGGTGTTACATGTATTAATTAGTATATTAATATTAAGTATGATATTATTATTAATTTCATTTATTATAATCATCAATTGATACACTATTTAGTACACTAATTTGTACATATAACATTATTCTATGAAAATATCAAATCACTATAATTTTATAAAAATAATTATAAGTCTATAAGAAATTTGATAAATATTATTAATTAAAATTATAAATTTTTTCATAAATTTATCTTCTTTTTTTTTTCTTTTCTTTTTTTTTCAAAATCTCACCGCGATGTAGTTATCCTAGGAGGTGTTATTGTTCACTTCTCATAGTTGATTCAAAATTTTGCTTTACTTTTTAGCAGTAATTCCACGTTAATGAACATTTGGAAAAGTATTTTTAAATTTGAGACAAATTTTATAAACATCAAAAACTTAAATTAGGCTTCGTTTGGGAAGCCATGGTTTGGGCTTTTTTTTGGTTATTTTAGCCACAAAAAACAAAATAGGCTATTTTAGCCATAACAAACAAAACATCACATCCAACCCATAATCATTACATTCTTCTCTCACAAAAAAACTCAAAAAAGTCAAAAAGTCAAAAAACCCTTCTCAAACCAAGCTTTTAAGCCCGGACTAAAATAGCCAAAAAAATCATAAAACTAAAAAGCCAACCCACGTCCCAAACGGAGGCTTAAAACTTTTTTCATGCATTTGTAATGAATTTTTAAGGTTTCCCACTAATACTAAACTCCTCTGCTTTTTACAGTTTTAAATGAAAAAACTTTGTCCCCGCACGTTAAGTATGTATATTTGATATTAATAAATTTTAACATTTACATACATATGCTAACAAATTATATAATATAATCTAAGCAGTCCGGTTCAATTCCAATTAGATTCGTAGTTATAAAATAATGGCCTCAACTGTGAAGACGGTTTTCAAAAACTTGAACCGAACAGTGCATTGAAAAAACAAAATCAAATCGTGTGATTTGATCTAGAACGAACTAGTTTACATTTTTATTTTTTATTTTTTTACATTTTTCCGGACTTATTACAATACAATGATTTGTGATCTTTTGAAGAACCGCTGCTAACTTTTT